ATTTCTTAAACCATCATCTGATAATATAATCATTTTAAATGAAATGCTGGATTTAATTGTTAAATACTATTTAGCAATTTATGAAAATCTCAAATTTCAGAAACCATTCAGCGATGATTCAGAAAATGCTATAATAATTCAGTTCAAAATGAATCAATTTGGAAGATGTCGAATCGGTTCTGAAATTTTCAGTTCAACTATGTTCTTACGACATGAGAAAAGTTCATACATTTTGGCCAAATTTATTATGAATGATGATGTTATTGATTGTTATTCAGGTCAAGTTCAATATTATTTTACTCATACGGTCGATTTACTATATAGACTGACTGAACATTTTCTAGCATATATTCGCTAGTATCAACCTGCAGGTTCTCTAAATGTTTGATATCATTTTAATGTTGAAGAAGCATGTAATGTTGAACTATGGGATACTGATTTTTACCCTGAAAGTCATGATTACATAATACCAGTACATCATATTTTAGGACGTTTTGTACCAGTGAACTATATGATTTCAACTTGACGAAATGCAAAAAAATATTTGGTCATCAATCCGATTAATAGAAAATACCAATTATGAAATTATGACATCTTATTTTCTTCCGAATTATTATTTTCAACATAAAATAATCTATTAAAATTGCTTTCCGATTTTATAAATATACAAATCGTCCATAAATTGGACAGGTTGATTTAGGTTGATTTTTGGCCATTGATGATTATGTCTGATTGACAGATAATTGATAGAAGATTTATCACATGTCTGATTTTTTTTGATTTCGACCAGTGAGGCTTTCAAACCTTAGCTAATTATGATAACAAATTAAAAGAAAAACTAAAAAAGATTGATGTCATAATAATAGACGAAATCTTAATAGTATTGAAAGAACTCTTTGAATTCATATCAAACACCCTCACAACCATCTACCAAAATACCTTAGCATTCAGAGGAATCAGCACTGTTGTCACTGGCAACCTAGCACAATTACCACCGGTAACTGGATCCCTGTATTCAAATCATTAATATGAAAGCTATTCTATCCTCTCTTCCTTCACAAACTTCACCGCCAATAAAATCAATCAGAATTCTATGACATACTAGAAAAATCTGTCTAGGGAACTTAACAGACCAAATCTGGAAAAAACTATAAGAAAAAATGAGCAATTTAACCCAAACAAACCAATCAACCTCCTTCTCAACACCACAAACATAGTAGGCTATCGCGAAACTGCCGACAAAATAAACTGATTAATCTGTAATGCACTACCAACAATCCAAGAAGGATACATAATCTTCCAAGCAATCGATACAATAAACGAAGAACAATGGAACATAAACATAACAGAAAAAACCTTTAAATCAAGAATAAATTTCCCCTTCACAGTCCGCCTCCAACAAGATACCAAAATCATGTTCCTTAACAACTCCAAAGCAAACCTTAATATCTACAATGGTACAATTGAAATCATCACAAACATTAACATCAAAACAAATATAGTCTGAGCTTCATTTAGCGTACAAGGCAGCATAATAGACACAAACATAAAACTGACCACACATCATTCACCATCGATGGAAACAAAGCCTCCTGTCACCAATTTCCATTCCAAAACAGCTATGCACTAACCGTTCATAAAACCCAAGGACTCATCCTAAACCAAATATCTGTTAGTCTAGACCATCAAATATTCTCAACCAGACAAGCATACGTTGCCCTAAGCAGATATCCCAACTGGAAAACATTCAAATACCCACACTAGACAAAACAGCCTTTATGACAGACCCAGACGTAATAAGAAAATACGAAAAACTCAAAGGAATTACCACTAATCCCTTACCAATATAACAAAAACCACCAAAAAAAAACAACTTTTAAAAACTTTCTCTTCCTTTATCCATAACCTCTAGCCAATAAAACCTTAATTGTTCAATTTTTCGCACTTAATTTTTTAAGTGTTCAATTTTTTGCATTCAATTTTAAGTGTTTAACTTCTCAAGTCTTAAATTATCAATACTTATCCAAACTCAAACCAATCAATCAATTTAAAATTACAAAATCACTAACTTTATTTATTTAACTCAACTACAAAACTATCAAAAAAATAAATAAAAAGACTAATTACACAAATAATTACACAATTATTGCACAACAATAAAAAAAATAAAACATGCTGCCTAAAAGCCACCCTAGTTTATTTATAAATAACTCAGCTAACCCTATAATTTTTTTTTCTTACCCAATTTTTTTATAATAATTTAAAAAATTTAATTAAATGTTTATTTATTTAAGGAGAATATTTCGTAGATTCTTCCTTAAAAAATGTAAAAATCCAAGAAGACGTACAACACGAACCTCCAAAAAACCACAAAATGATAAAATTGTTCCAAGTGTCGCAACATGCAATTATTTTAGTAACAAATTATAATTATTATAATAATAATAATAAGGCATTCAATAATAATGATGGCATTGATACAAATAAATTCACTCCACCATTTGTGATGTCACCCTCAAACAGAGCAAGTTCAGGGCAATCTCATAGAGATTAACGTAGTGGATTTAAACCAATTGACAAACTTATTCAAGAAATCAGACTGGAATTTCCATATCCTTCTCATAATTTAAATTGGATTCTATACGATGAATTCATGGGTTCCAGATTAATCATTCAAGGTGGATTTTCTTCGATCTTTGAAGCCATGTGAAATAAATCAGGTCAAACCGTAGCGTTAAAGTGTTTGAATAATTCACAAGATCTTAGTAGTGATTATCTAAATGAAGTAATTATTCGAAATTAAATCTTATTCAATTCATTATTTCAGGTATCTAATAAATATTCCTTTTTTTTAAAAAAAAAAATAAAATAAAATAAAAAAGGTAAAGACCCATATGGGTTTATTCTCACAACCACAATTTTTACATTGTTTCGGTATAACGCAATATCCAATCACTGGGGAATTCATGATAATGTTACAATATGCATTATTTGAAGATTTGAGATTACGTAATCATGTATCAAGTTGGAAAGATAAGATTCGAATTCTCAAGCAAATCACTCATGGACTTGCTGAGATGCATAAGAGAGATTTGATTCATGGAAATTTACATAGCGGAAATATAATGAATATATTGATAAGTTATATTTTGTTATTGGAGATGTTAGACTTTGTGGATCAGCTAATCGTAGCATACGTAAGAAAGAAATTTGTTCAGGAATGAGACCATATGCTGGTACAGCTCATGATATGAATATGGCAAAAGATATATGTAAAGGGAAAAGGCCACCTGTTTCACCTGTTCTATCAGGAACACCTTCCTTTTATTCTGAACTTATGAAAATTTGTGAAATCATAATCCAAATGAACGATCTGATGCATCTGATATATTAAAAACTGTTTATTACTGGTTGGTAAATGATTCACTAGATGAATTTTTATATAAAGGTGGATCAATGATATTATTTAATAATGTGTTAAATAATCGAATGCACACAGATGCAATTTATTGTAGTAGATTATTGGATTCTCCAAATTAAGAGAAGAACACAGACGGCAAAATCACGTGCAGAATTGAGAGGTTCTTCAGTTGAAGAAAATAAGTATAATAGTAATAGGAATAGTATTAATAGTAATAGTAATAATAATAATAGTAATATTATAGGTCAGAATAATTTATTAAAACCCTCACAAATTTATTCATCACTAATATCAAAATCATCTAAGGATACATTAAGTTCTAAGACTTCTCAAAAAATAGACAATAATTCAACAAATTCTTATAATACTTCAAAGAAGTTTCAAGATGGATCAAATTCCAATTCTATTTCTTGACTTTCACAATGTACAAATAATTATTCAAAAATTCTGCAAGAAAGATATAATAATAATTCTTCTCAAGATTCCTATAATTATTCAAAATCATCTCAAACATCATACAATGATCATTCGAAACCTTCCCAAAATATTTTAGATAATCATAATTATTCAAAACCTTTACAACAACATAGTCCTATAAATCCGAAATAAACATCTCATTCAGAAATTTTTGGTAAATCTGAAGTATTAATAAATCCTAAAGGTGGATTGTGTGTTTTCATACCTGATGATGATATTGAAACTCTTACTTCATTCTGGTCTATGGAAGGACCTAAACCCAATGCCAAGAATTCAGCTAATACTTTTAGACTATAAATCAAAATTTAGAATATAATATTATATTCCTGACAAATATAAATTTTTTTTTCGAACATATACATATTCAATATTATGTATATACATAGGTTTTGTGAGAGATTCTCTTGGTTATATGGATGTATTTACTTATTATTTATTTATTATTTATTTATTTATTAATATATGTATCGATTTACATTTTATATACAACGAATCGTTCATTTATTTGGTTTTTTTTTATTTATTTATTTAAATATTAGATACATTCTTTTTACAATAAATCAAATAACTACAAAATGTTATTAATTTTGAAAATTGATTTATTTATTATTATATACACTAGGTAACGGGAACCGTTAGGAGCGTCTGAAGCATTTATCAACATAAAAATATCTTTAATACTGTTTATTTATAAGTTAAAAATACGATTAATTAAAAAAATGTAAATTAAAAATTATCATTCCTGAAAAACTGAAAAAATTATGTTACACAAAATGATTGACAGAAATGGATGGGGGCAGTGTTGTCATGGGACTTGGACTCAGATATGGACTGTTTGATCTCAGACTGTCCTTCGGACATGAACATAAAATTTTGTGTCTGAGACATTTGGGACAAATTTATAGTCATTATATGGGAGTTTTGCAATAGAAAAGGAGGAAACTCTAAAAAAATTAAAATTTTACTTTTTAAGCTAATTATGATTTTTTTTGTAAAATAAGTTCAGATTTAACATTAACTCAAAAAAAAAATTTTTTAGAGTTTCCTCCCTTTCTATTGCAAAGCTCCCATATACTTTTAATTGGCTGATCAATGATAATCATCATATGAAATCCAACCAATCAGGTTTAGGATTTGTGCGCGTTACAGTATATAATATTTCCTTTTAGTATCATTAAATAATAACCAATTAACTGGTTTTCCATAAAAATCTTTCAAGCTAGGATTTTTCAAATCTTGTTCGATGGTAAGTCTATAGAGAGGGATGAGTTATTTTTGTCTTTTTATAAAAATCATAACTAAAATTACATTCTTTTAGGTTACAAAAAAAAAGATTCTTCAAAGCTTGAATTTCAAAGGTAAATCTATGAAAATAGAGAGTAGCATTATTTTTTATTTTTTAAAACAAAACAAAATAATAAAAACTAACACTGGTTGAAATCAAAAAATCGTAAATCAGCCTAAAATAACCAATTTGAACAATCAAAAATTTTAATATCTTATTTACATAATTAATTCAAAATTCAAATACTTCAAATCACCCTAAATGATCGTCATTTGTGTACTTATTTATTACATATTTGTCTATTATTTCTGAATATAGGAAAAAAAAAATTTCTCTTTTAAACAAGTTTATTTTTTTATTTTTTTGACGATTTGACTTCAAAACATTATTTCGGCATAATAGTTCAAGTAAATCACCTTAAGTCGCTTAAGTAAAGTTGTTCAGCGAGTCCCTAAAATAGTCAAATCTAAATTTTCATCAAGGTTAGTTTGATATTCATAGAGTAAATCACGTTTTTCTTAACACTATTAACACATGAATTTTACTTTTTTGCTGATTTGACTTCAAAATGTTATTTCGGCATAATACTTCAAGTAAATCATCTTTAGTCGCCTAATTAAAATTGTTCAGCGAGTCCGAATATAGTCGAATCTCAAGTTTTAGCAAGGTTTATTTGATATTTATGGAGTAAATCACATTTTTCATAATGCTATTAATATACGAATTTATTTTATTTTTCAAATCGTTCAATTTCAGACTTTAGTCCATGTAAATTACCTTTAGTCGCCTAAGTAATATTATTCAGCGGGTCTGATTTTAGTTGAATCTCAAATTTCTTCAATGTTGATATAATATTCATAAATTAATTCATAATTTTCGTGAAATACAAATGCTTTTTAATAAATTTTATGAATTGGTGGGTCGATTAGAGCTCCGAATCAGGTCAGGTCAACCTGTGACCCGACCCGACCCGACCCGAAAAATCCAGGTCGGGTAGACAAATTTTCAGGTCAACATCAGGTCGGGTCAAGCTTATGACCCGACCTGATAAAAT